TAGGAATGGGGAAAAAATAAGAACCAAGATGCATCATGTAAAGGTACAATTCCCAATGAGAAATGTAATTGTGTTGTATACCTACAACGTACCAATAAAAGAATAAAAAAAATAACATTGAATCCTCCCTAACACTTGCCATTTGCTAGAATGTTTGCCTTTTTCACTGTAGTTTGAGCCAGGGTCTTGTACGCAATGCAGACTGGCCTTGAACTTGCTATGTAGCTCAGGCTGGCCTCAATCTCACAATCCTGCTGCCTATAACTCCCTGAGTACTAATATTGAAGGCATGCACCAGCACACTATGTTCAAATGTTTATGTTCTGACCACTTAGGAAGCATGATGCTTCACTGTGGCTTTGGATATGCATTTCTCAAGTTATTCATGAAGTGTCTCTTCATTGATTTATTAGCTACATATATTCTCTTTTCTATTCATATATCTTTTACGTGTTACTTTTTCTACTCGATGGTATTTTCTCATTTATTTTTAGATGTTCTTTATGCATTTGGGACACTCAAACTACCACTTTCTCATCCTCTTTCCTTTAAGACTTTTACTTAGCTAGCACTTTATCTCTTGCTAATATAATTTGTTACTCGAGGAGTAGCTGTTCCCTTCACTTAGTTACTTCCACAAAGTCCCAGCCACTTTCTGCTTTTACATTCATACAGCATCTAGGAGTGTATTTGGTACCCAGTATTTCCCCAATAAATTATCATAGTTATCATCATTTTTTCTCTGCTTTATGATTTACCTTATACTTGGGTTTTATTTCTCCAAAAATATATATCACTCAGGAGTGTACAACATAGTCCATTATTACTACAAGTTAAGAGTATAATCAAAACATGAAAGGGAATCTGCCATTTACAATTTTGCAAATCTCTAATGCCCTTGTTTAGTCTTAAAAGCATTAAACACTTTTTCTTTCAAAATCTGTAACCCAAACACTTAACTCTACCAGTTTCTAAAATACTGTGATATTTCAATTCACTTTTGACTTTAAACAGAGTGAGTTAAATGATAGCAATGTCAGAAAAAATACTGTTCTTTATAATAGACACATAAATATGGTCTACATTACCTTAGGTTCTAAGGCTCAGAATTCCTTGAGCAAGCTACAAGATAAACTAAAAGAACACAAGGAATAAATTAACCAATGGCTTTCACCTGACTCACCAAGACCAAAAAGAAAGGCCTATGTGGGAAATGCTGGTGGGGAAAGCGTTCATTTTATTGGTGACTCAACCATAAGTTAAAGTAGTTAAAATATATTTGTTTACCTTTATCCTAAAGATCCATCAGTAGAGAAACTATATAATCACTTATAACCAAAGTAAAATTTTAATTGAGTGGCTACCTATGAGTGTTCATAAGGTAACATTAGTTAAGATGCTATGAAGGATATGTTTTAAAGTGTTGCATATAATCCTGATACCTAGGAGTTGATAATCTAGTCAGGATAAACTAATTGTATGTATTTATTTCTACCACCCCAAAATGTTTACTGGTTACAGTCTGAGAGAAGCACTACCATGGGCACTGGAGGTACAAAGAAAAAGACAATCTGGGTGCTAAGCCTAAGTTTCCCCTGACCCAACAGGACAGACCATTAGGAGTCCAGAAAGGCGTCCTCCAGGAGAGAGCACTCAGTCGACAAACTTAAGGATTGAGTTAACCAGTTGGATAGAAGATATTCCAGGACATGCAAATTGCAGGTTCAAGACCTGGAGAGCAGAAGATGAAAGCATAAGAGGGAGCACAGAGATACTTATTAAAGCCTGTCAGAATCCCTGATGAGGTAGATGCATTGTTCTAAAGGCATGGTACAGAGCTAGGACTTCATCCTCAAGGCAATGAAAGGCTGCAGAGAGGTTTTTAAGAGGACAGTAACCCGATTAGATTTTTCTCTAAAACCCTTCCTCTGGCTTTGTATGGGAGGACAGATAGAAGGGGCAAAAGGGAAGGAAGTTGAAACCCTAGGAGGACTCCTGTGATGGAGATGTTGGTGATGTAAACTGGGAACAACCAGGGGTTGGGAAAGAAGTGAGTGGGGAAGGCGATAACAAAGTGGAGGAAGGACTCTGCATGGAGGGAGTGCCTGAAAAGAACAAGGATGACTCTGGACTTCTCCTTATCTAATGACACAAATGGAATTTTTCTTGCCTACACAAGGACCACCTTATGAGCATCCAGCACAGAATTCTAGGAGTTTGATCTGAAAGCCTGGACTTATGCTGCCTCCAACCCCCTAAATGACCAGCGTCACCTCCAGAATCTCTGACTGGGCTGTGGCTGGTTCCAGACCTCATTCCTCTTTAGACAGAATGCTGGATTACAGAGCTTCTGGATTCCTGGTATGCAACAGCCTCATACTCCAAATACTTATTCCCCATCTTCTTCTACCATCTGCTAGCATAGGCAGAGCATACTGTTTCCAGGGCTTCCACTAACATATCAAAAGAACAAAATACATTTACATGATGCTCAACATTTAGGAGGAAAGAAAATCACTGAACAACTTTCTGAGCTGAATGGCTCATATAATTTTACACATATACCATACAGATCTATGAGAGATAAAATATTTACACATTTTCTCAAGGATCGTATTATATTCACACATGATTCCAATTTTATACATTGAAAATTCATAGATGGGACCACCAAGTCCTAACCAAATGACTCACAGCTAAAGAATATTTTTGAAAAAAATTTATTAAAGGAAACTAGGATAAGTCATATAAGCCCACTAACTAAAAGGACCCAGAACACAGTGCTACACACTTGAATTATGAGAAAAGGCCAGAATCCAGGAGAAAGATCTGGGTCTGGAGGAGGCAAGGGTGCTATTGGGTGCCCAGAACCCAAATGTTCTTGAACATCTGCTGAGTGAGTATACAGCATACAGAGAAGAAAGGGCAGCTGGGCCTCTATGTGTTTTGGAAGGTGAAAAGCATAATGAGGAGAGGCCAAGAGGCTAACTCCAAAGTACCCTTTAAAGGCTTATCTGTGACTGTGACTCATGGGTCCCATAATAAGAAAACAACTGCGCTGGAAGAAAAGATGCCTCACCTGTTTTTGGAAGAGGATAACTGATATTAAACAAATCCTCTAGAAATGAGAAGATGGGTCCTGTGATGTTTAAAGCAAAATCTGCATTTCCATTTGCAATGGCATCTTTCCGGGCCCAGATGCGTATCTAAATCAAAACAATGAAGGAGTAATTAGGAATGTGAAAGCAACTTTGGAAAGTGGTAGCCTGCTTGCTCCATCTCTCTCTTGCTCAAAAGCCAGTCTTACTTTTCCAGAAGAAGCTACATGTTTAGAATGTTTAAGTGCATACATGTGATGAGAAAATCCAGGAGGCAGTGAACTAAATAAAGAACAGTGACTACCCTAGAAAGTGTGTTATGTCAACCTTTGAAAATAACATCTATAATTCTATAATTATAAAACAATCCTTGGAATGGTCCACACTACTACTCAAAAAATGTGGATTTTATGTAAAAGGGTACTTTGGACAATTCCTTCTCTTTTCAGGACATATTTCTGATTCAAAACAGAATTGTGCTGTTAGTGATGTTTATACAGTATGGTATATATTAAGCAAATTTGAATTATGCACATTTTAAATGGTTCAATAATTAAAGTATTAATATTCCTACCTTATTTTCAAATTTTAAAATGAAACTAAAAAATCTTGGAATAAGAGTTGAGGTGAGATTAAAATATTTGTCCAGATGTGAGCGCAATCAATTTATGAAAGAGCTCTGTGCAAAACACTGGAGGAAATGCTACGGAAAATAAAAAGCAGCATAACAATTGCAGCCTTATGTATTCCAAGAGCACATTCACTGAACTATGCTTTTACTTCTGCTGGAAAATTGGTCTTGAATTATGTGAACTTTCAGTTGCGTGAGGGTTTAGGAATGCTCTTCTTTCACAAACTGCAACCACCTGTGTTTTTGAGGCTCTAGCTTGAATCCCTTCACTGCCTTCTGTCTCCCTTGTGCTGCAGAGGCCTCTTTGTGTTGGGAAAGTTGGTCCCAAGACTCTGCCCTGCCCTTGCAGTAAACCTACACTCCCCCTTCCCAAGCTCTCACTTTTGAGGTAACAAGAAGCCTGCTAACCAAAGACCACTCTACTGGGTAAAACAGCAGTCATCTCTCCCCAGTGTAATTTAACTGTAGCCTTTTGGAAAAATAATAGAATTACCAATTAATATTTGCACATTAATTTTTCATTTACAAAGCTCTTCCCATAAATGACCATTCTATAAGTCAAAAGTCCTTCAAAAACACCCCTGGCCCATGCGTGGGCTCTGGCAGCCCTCACCAGACACAGCAGATCTTGACATCTAAGAGAAGAGCATCTTTGCAAATCCCCTGTGTGTCAAAATTTTAAGCAAAGTGTGTTATTGTCATCTTTATTTATGTGTTTCCATGTTTATTCTTGCACCATATTCTCAACTTTATTAAATCATTATCTCATACTTAACTAGCAATTTTTGGATAGGCTGACCACTATTCCAAGCACACATTTTGGTTTCCCTATAGTATATGATGGACCTACTCACTTTGTGGAGCTGAGTCATAGCCAAATGCAATGTTCTACTGATAAACTGAGCCCAAACTTTAAGTTTTCTGGCTAAGAATATTACTTTCTTGGGCATGATCCATTTCCTCTGTTTCTGTGGCAGCTTGCATTCTTTACAAGATAATTTTTCAAGAAGAAAGAGACTTTATCCCTATACAGCAATTGATGGTGGGACAGCAGCACTTACTAAAAGTCACTTGAAATACGGATACTGAGGGACCATGATGTGTCTCTCACTAGCTACGGGAAACAAGGGGCCCATTCCTTCTTCCAGGCCCAAAGTAGGCATTTCCAAATCATGCAGAGCAGATTCATCAATGTATGTCATGAACTTTTCACTTGGCCAATTTTATCTGAAAGTTAAGGATCTCCCAGTCAATAGCTCAGAAAGATAAGCTGTTGTTTGCATACAACACAGTATTATTTGATTGTTAGGTTAGGAGGATGTAGAAGGAGTAGCTTGGAGTGATTCAGCATGGCTCACCATAGCTTCCTTTCTCCACCTCTCAGTGGTATGAGCCTCCAAGATCTTAGTTCTGAGAGTGGCTCAGCCAGCTGTAGCACCTGATTTTTTTCTGCTCCCTAAAGGTCTATAATCTGACTGAAGAAACGGCCTCAGGCAATCATGTTGCATAGCTCCACACTCTGATAGGGAGTTAGCCAGCATAGAAAAGATGATACTTTCCTGAAATCTTACAATGCAATGAGGATATAATTAGAGGGAAACTAGGATTTCGGGACAGAGAACCTCCCACACTTTGCACAGCTCTAGGGAAGTGCTGCATTCCCAGAGCTGAGGAACACAGCAGCCCAGCTCCTAGATTAGGGTGATATATAGCCTGCATTTCAGCCACAACAGTTGCTCCTGGCTGATATCTGTTTAGATTGGATGATGTCTGGGCCACACTTGATGCTAAACACTTTAGCTTCCAGGCTACACGAACACTTTAAGCTAAGCAAACAACACATACTGAACCCAAGCCTCAGGTGCCAGTGTAACAGCCCTCTCTGTTCTCTCTTGTCCTCTGCAAAGGCAGAAACAGGAAAGGGGAGCTCAAAATCTACATGAAGAGTGGGCTTAGAGTGTAGTCTTTGCATGGAAACCCCTCCGTAGAGCGGTAGCAGAAAATGTCATGTCCCACTCTGCAAAGCTTCACTGAGGACTGTAACAGTGCTTGGGAGGAAGAACCAGGAGGTGACAATAAGATGTGTAGGCATAATTCCCAAATGTAGGCAGGACAGACAGGCAACCCATAGCCAGTGCAGTGTCCTTTACCTGAACAATCTTCCTTACTCACCTCCTTGCCCCTTTCCGTTCTGTTGACTTGGTCATAGTCACATATGGCAAGTGCAACTAAGTAAGTTGGCATGGAGGGTGTGGTGTAGAAGGTAGTAACTGTCCATTTGCTTCCATTTACATCTCTTTCTGACTGACCTAGAGAAGTTATTTTTAGTCCAAATCAGTGTAAAATTAGATAATAATATCTACCTCTGAAAGACTGTCAAGCCAAATGTCACCCAGCCACTCCTTCTCAACTACTCTCCTCTCCATGGTCTTGTACTTTGAATTTCTCTACCTACCCTACACCCTCAAAACAGCAGTAGGTTATTGTCAAAAATGGTCACCCAGCAGGATCCAAACACAAAGTAACAATATGGAGATACAAACACTGATTGCCCTGGTTTGATTGATACACATGCATACATGTGTTGAAATATCATACTGTATCTCAAAAATACGTACAATTATTTGTTAATCAAAAATATTTTTTAAGATGTTTAAGGAGATGGGAATGCTAACCACCTGATTTGATAACACCTGTTGTATACATGTATCAAATCATTATCCTGTACCCCATAAGTGTGTACAGTTGATATGATTGTAATTGTTTTTAAAATAAATAATATACTAGGAGTATCTAAGGAAGCATCTTAGGCTTTAATTAGCATCCTGAGTAACCTAGGCTTGAGTGGGGCTTGAATCCCAGAGCACTGCAAATTTGGCCCCAATCTGCATTCTCTCTCTTCCACCTACTTCTGTTTCCTAGTCCAGTCTGCTTCTCAGACAACTTAATCTGGAACTGCGTAGGTCTGTGGTAGGTCAATAATGTGCAAACCTGCTCTTTTCCAATTTCAGCCTGGTCTTTAGCAGAAGCAATCGGGAGATTAAGGCAGAAATTACAAACTCAAATGTTTATAAGGATTGGGCATTTTCTGTGACCTGGGCATGTATATAACTGGGAGCCAGGGGCACATGGCCCAGTCTGCAGGAACCAGCATCTTCTCAGCTGGTACTGGTGGATATCATGTAAGAGTTCCAGGGTCGGGGGGTAGATCTTTCATTTTTAAAGAAATAAAAATCTAGACTGTTTTGTAAAATCTCGGGCTCTTTAAAAGTCGGAGACTAATTCAATCAAAAGAGAGAAGCCATGTGAGACAAATAAAACACATCTGTGCATCAGATTCAGACCAAGTCCACCAGCCTGTTATCACTAATGATCAATAGCTGAAGCCCAACTAATGGGCAGGCAGGCAGCCAATCTACACAAACAGTATCACATCTCCAGAATCACATCGTCGGATTCAAAGACAGAGAGAATCAGGATTTACTATTTTCAAGATGCGGGGACCCACATACCTATCCCATATGACTGCTCTCCCCAATTATTAAAAAAAAAAAACTGCAACTACTAACTTGCTGCCTAGCAAAGCTATCGACATAAAAGCTATTACAAAGTTTATATTTATGTAATGATAGAAAACATTGCTTACCTAGCTGTGGCATGTTGGAAAGGGCCACATAACTTGGATGGTGGATAATTGTAATATTAAAAGTTGCCTTAAGAGCTGGCTCATCAAAACAAGGGAAAACACTCCTGGAAAATGTTGGTTCCATTTGAGATGCTATCAGGGCTCTGAAATACATTTTGGAAAAAACAAACAAACCTCTTTATTTTGTCTCAAACCAATGGAACCAAAAACAATTTGAAAGATTGTGGCTTATAATTAAGTCTGGTGTGTGGGTGGGAAAGGACTAGATGTTTTTCCGCATCTTCTTCACTGTCTTCCCCATAACACACACACTCCAGTTTACATTGCACCTAAGAATTCTTGTAAGACCTAAAATAAAAAATAGCTCTTTAATTTTCAACCACAAAATATTTGCTTCATTACACCATAAAGCTTTAAGAGTTTTCATAAATAAAATAAGAACAAATATAGCAAACACAATGCCAATCTTTTGAAAAACAGGCCTTTTAAAGAATAGATTATTTAGGAATGGTCTATTGCTTTCACCTTCATCAAAATACAAGTCAGTTTGAAGAATGCTTACATTTTTCTTTCTTGTCCTCAAGTGTTCTTTCTTTCTCCTGATTGAAAACTTACTAAAAGGTTTATTTTGGACACTCTTGAGGGTAAAGAATATAGGTACACGCTAACTGAACAAAACAACTTTCAATTATATATGGGTAGATTCATCAAATCTCTATTGATTCTTCTCCTACTTCCATGGAAAAATACAAAGAGTGGCATCCCACAGTGCAACAGTAATTTATAGGAAGAAACTGAGGGACAAAAGTCCCTAAGAAAACAAGATGATGTCAGGTTAGCCTCTGCAGACATTGCCTGAGTCAAACAGAATATGGGTCCTAGGAAACTGCAGTCTCAATATCCCACTTCCCAGGGGTTTTTTTCTTTTTTTTTCTTTGCTGTACTAGGGAACAAAGGCAGGACCTGCACTTTCGAGGCAGGGGCAGCATCACTGAGGTAAATCTCTGGCCCCTCCCAGGATTTTGGATGATAATTGTGAGTGTGAAATTCCTTTACTACTGAGGATCTGAGGCTTTCTGTCTCAGATACAGTTATCCTTGCTGCAGGCTCAATTCTTAGATAAATGAAAGATAAATTCAAGTGGGTATGTCCTGTCTATCCATTACCTCTGTGAATCCCTCCTCCATTACAATAAGGCCTCTCTACTCAGAGTAATTCACACCACTTTAGCAAAGACACACAGGGCAGTCAGCACATTCTGAAAACTCTCAAACAGTTTGAGGTGTCTATAATCTCAGAGTGACAAACCTGTAATTTATAAATACCTTGTTTTGTCCTATTTACTTTTAAAATTTTAATTATACTCTTGTTTGCTTGAATCAGAAGGAAGCCTGTGAGCTCTCTTGCTGACCAATTTGGCCAGGTGACCCTGATCCTTCTGCTACCAACTGCACACTCCTGGAGGAGCCACATAATCTGGCTGAGCCTCAGTTTCTCCACCTAGAAAAAAGTGACACTATATACATCGTACTGCTGTTTGAACTCATATTATTAGCAACTAAATTTATCAATAAATCAGTTTAATCCTTTAAATCCTTCCAATCTCATAAACCATTAATATAGATGAAATGAAGAAATTAGAGTCATAAATTACAGAGGGGGGCGAAGGTTGAAAACACTACAAAGGCACTGAAAAGGTCACAGAGATTACAGCTAATTACAAGCTGAGTATAAATCATGCTTGTTCAATATGAAACTGCTAGAAGCAAGGGGTTATGTTATTTTGTTTATTCATTTGTATCATTTACAATACTTAACAAAAATTGAGTTCACAGCAGTCAAATAAGTATTTACTCAACCTTGAAACTACACAAAATATAGGCAACATAATATTAGTATATACAAGAGAATATGAAGTACTTGGACAGAATCTGTTATACTGGCATTTGTTTGTTCTATAATTTTGGTTGCTGTACTTAAGGGGGGGGTGGGATAAAGTCCAGAAGATTCACATAACTGATGATATAATAGGTAATTCAACCATCTGAGTTCTTGCTTAGGATTTGCAGTGAAAACAAAGTTGTATAACTTTGGGAAAAGTTGCTTAAACTCTCTAGATGTCAATTGCTATGAAATCCACAGACAAGATTAGATGATCTGAAAGATCTCTAAAACTGTGATTCTAAGATGGGGTGGAAAAAGATCTTGTAAAGTGGCCATGACTAAGCCATCTGGAATTGGAAGTAACAGCTTGGGATTCACACACAGCTTTCAAAAAGTCTATAGCCCTCTGAAATTTAGATCATTTTGTGTAAATTGTGGCATATTAACATGCAAAAATATAAAGTGCAAAAGCACATTCAATTATATAATACATGTTTATATATTTTGAAAGCCTACAAATGCCTACTGTTTTTGTAACAAAAACTATAGAAAGAAAAAAAGCTTGACAGTGTCTTCTCCACTACCATGAGATCACAAAGCTTTTGAGTGTCAAGGAGACTGCAAGGTGGGGAGCAGGGAGAAAATCAGACTCTTCAGGAAAGTGGGAAATTTTATGGTACGGATTTAAAACGGCTAAGAGACACCAGCTTAGTGAGTCACCACTTTAACAATCAAACATCAAGCAAGTGCCTTCCAGTTCCATGATTCAGGCCTCCAGAGAAGTGAAATGAAAAAAACTCTCAGACTTTATTCAACTATTTCTATCCCTAGTTTTATACAAATACACAAGAAGTTAGGGAAAGATTCCTAAAACACACAGCCTTTTTGGCTCTCAATCCTAACGCCAGAGGTCAAGGACAGTCAGCAGTACATATCATTTGGTTATACCACATCTGGGGACCTCAGAATGGCATTTCCTTCCCTCCTCTCTCTGCTATGGAGTCAAGCAATCCTGTAAGGATATCCAAACCTCAGCAATAGAGCCATCCATCACTGTCTCCTCCCTTCTAATTTCACCAAAACATGTTATTATGGTGCCCATTAAGACTATGTTTAGATTGGTCAGCTCCTGAAGGAATTAAATTTGAGAGAATTTGCCTCTTGACTTGCCAGGGAGTCATAGACTCACTGCTCTCTGCTGCTGGAAGAGATCTCAGTGGTCAAGAGGCACATGATGCCCTTGGGGAAATCATACTACTACTATTATAGAAAAATATCCATTATATTCACTCTGTAAGGCATTTTATTTCGAATTATTTTATGAACGCCATATGCTTACAACTCTGATTAACAAATGCTAATACAGAGCTGGTCAAACATTAAATAAAAACTCTTCAAGAGATTCCTACCCTCCCCACTCATCTTAAAAGTTTTTTTATACAATGCACACAGAAATCAAAATCTTTAATAGAGCCAAATGTTATACTAATGGCCTGTGGTTCAAGGATTGGGCCATGAATCATGTTTGTTTATTACTTGTATAAAAGATCTGAAAACTGAAGTTTCCACCATGCAACAAAATATAATCGATGAAAAATTCCAAAGAAAGGTGCCAAACTGTCATAGAGATCTTCAAAGCAAATGCCCTTGAGAACCTGCATGTAATTCTTGGACTTTTCTACTGTACGTGGAAGGATATAGAAGAAAGGTCAAGGAATGGAGACAGAAGAGATCTTTTTGCAGGCAGTGGGTGATAATTTTCAAAGCCTTCCATGCTGTCAGGGAGTCCGCAGGAAGTGCAATTCTCTAACCCTGGACAAAGGGGAAGGAACCCTCAGAGAACAATAGTTGTGTTTCTTGAGAGCCAGGTGTGGTGAAGCACACCTGTAATCCCAGGTACTCAGGAGGCTGAGGCAGGAGGAATCCAAATCCCAGGCCAACCTGGGCAACTTAGCAAACCTGTATCAAAATTAAAAATTAAAATTTGAAAAAAAGGGTTAGGGATGTAGCTTAGCTGTAGAGCATTTGCCTTATGGTGTCGGACCCTGCATTCAATTCCAAGAACTGAAAAAATAAAAGGGAGGCTGAAAGACACACATATGTGTCCAACTCACTCTTAAGAAAAGTGAAACTGACACTGTGGTCAGGGTCTAACTCCTGGAAGATGGGTATCTAAAACTCAAGACAATGACTGACTGCCTTGAAGGTAGAGCCAGAACATACTGGTGCCTTGGGATATGTGATAGTCCCAGCCAAAGGGTGCACAAGTGTTCCTTGCAAGAAGAGTGGGCCATGAGACAAAAAGTGAACCGCTATGGGGACTTCTCAAGCCTTTTCCAAGAGAGCCACCTGGAAGAGGCTGAGGAACTTGGAGATGCACTTTCGATGTCCAGAAGCTGAGGAAGGAGTCATAGTGACCCTCAGGACAGAAAAAAATTTAAACATATTGCTGAGCCACGGGAATTGCAGGAGAAAGAGAAACCACAGGAAAACTACAAAAAGTCTAAGAAAATAGTATCTCAAGGGGAAAAGCATCTGCTAGGCCACAGTGATACCTAATGACAAGAGCCCTAGATCAAGTAAAAAGTGCCCTATGTTTCACCTCTTCCTTTTGATCTCTACCCCAGTGGACCCTTGTGGAATTGAAATAGCAGCTATCAAGATGGGCAAGAAGGAACAGAAACACAAAATGGAGAAACAAATGAACAACTACTCTTTATCTTACTGCAGCCTTCCATCCTAAAACCAGCCCTAGAGTGGTGATCCAGGGTAGGATTAGGGGTTAAAAACAAATTAAAGTTTGAGTATTACATAGTACCAGATTTTCTCATTTTCGCTTCTGACTGTTTTTGTGACTTGGTGACTAAAGATGCTATGGCACCTAAGAATGAGCAGGAAATTATAGGCTGCTTTATGTAGGAAGAGGGAGGATGAGCCCAACATAGACTAAACTGTAAAAAGATAGTGGGATAAAAACTTGTATTTTTACTCCACATATGCTTTTTCAATGTTAGTTATCAAAAGATACAGGATCTAAACCTTTTGTTAGCAAACTTGCTTTCCAGAGAAAACTACTTAGTCACATGAAATAGGTGTGTTCAATCCAAATGTGTGGGTTCAAATGTATAAGAAAATGATCTCTTTCCTCTATGACACCAACAACATCATGTGCCTCACACTAGAGTTCACTGACCTGGCTTTGAGACTTCCAAATTATTTGCTAATATTGCTCATTTTTCTATTTTATGTCTCATGCCCC